TGGTGCCTAGGATATGCCAGTGAGTAGAGTAGAAGGTTGGGAACTGCTGATGGCTGGGGCCTAGTCCCGGCTCTGACACCCAGAACCTCTTTTGCCTCAGTTTCCCCATCTGTACAATGGCCAGCGTGCCTGCCTCTCGGGGTGGTTTGTATTGTGTCTGCAGAGCGCGCCAAGACCCTCTGATGGAAGGCATTGTATAGACAGTCCAAGTATTGCCTGTTTGGTCTAAAGGACCACTCCCTTCTCCTCCAGCCCCTGGGGATTCCCCACACCCTTGTTCTTTAGCTCCCCTCCACTACCACCCACGCACCTTGATGGCCCCATGACTCAGCCACTGGATGGAAATCTTCCCCTGGTCATGGTGCCCCTCTGGCACCTGCCACCAGGGGGCTCTGCCGAGCGACAGGAGATGCCCCCTTCCTTTCCCTGCCTTTGGCTCGGAGCAGGGGTGCTTTCTCTGCTCCCCAGTCAGAAGGTGGGCCAGGGCAGGGATGTTGCCCCTCCTGGGTGTAAGCGACTGGCAGTGGGAGCACCGGTGTGGTGGCTCTGACACAAAGCATGTCTCTGGCCACTGGGAGCCAGGCAGGGAGACCTCAAGGGGTGACCTCCCATGACGGCTTTTTCCTTGTGAGTGGATCTCGCCTTGCCTGGCCCCTGGCTCTTCAGTGAGCTTGGCTGGCAGAGAATGGGGCAGCTGGACTGATAACATCCTGACTCCTCTCTCTCTCTCTCTCTCTTTCTGGCTAGTTCTTGTGCCGATTCTCATGGAGCGGCTGGAGAAGTTCCCCTTCATGAAGGTGAGTGGTTCAGGAGGGTCTGAGTTCCTCCTCCATCATCCCCATCCAGTGGCATCCTGTCCACATCCATATCCAGCTCCCCTCTCCTGGTAGTCAAACCTCTCCATGGCTCTGTTACCCCTTCTTTTCTCTTTGCCCCCCCAGACCATCTGTAGGGGTTGGGTTCTCTCACGTGTGCTCTTTCCTCAGTTTCCCCCGCCTCTGCTGGCCCTCTTGGGTTATGGGGGCCCACTGGAGCTCCAGATGACCTTAAGGGGACCCCAGAAAGCATGTGGGTATCAGGGATATGAACAAAGGATTTGCCAGACTAGATCTGGTCACAGATCCACCAAGCACGTTGAGCTCCTTGGGGGAAAGACTTCCTTCTCCCCTGGCTGGGTTGGACGTTGGCTGTGATAACTTCAGGGACGACGTTCCGGGCTCACCTTCTCCTGGGCTGATTTCTTTGCAGAGAATTCAGGTCCTCCACGCGCCTTTACAAGTGATGCTGGCTGGGGGCTTGTAAGTATCTTCCTTCCGGAACCGCCACCCTTCCTCAGCTCTGGCCTTGCAGCTTTGGGTTCAGAAAACAACCTTCTAAAGAAGCCAGTCAGCGTCTGGCCTTAGCAGGAGCAAACAGCTGGCTCTGAAAATCTCTTTCCTTTCCCACCTTCTGTCAAGCTCAGAGTCCAGGGCGTCCCTGCCACAGATAAGAACCTCAGTAATAATAATCAATCATTAGTGGATTCTCCCAGTGCTCCTTTGAGGCAGGTAATAATTATTACATCCCCATTTCAGAGCTGGTGAAGCAGAGACACAAATGCGGGGGGGCTTGCGATTTGCCTAGCGCTGCAAAGTGAGGCGGAACTAGGCGCTGGAACCCAGGAATCCTGAGGCCATCCCCTGCTCTAACCACTAGACGACATTCCCTCTGTATCACACGCCCCAACAGCTGGGGAGGAGAAGCTGCTTGCTCCTCTGGTGTAGGGTGCTTGTCCCAGCCTTAATGGCACCAGTGAAACCCAGCTGAGTCACATGGGGGCCGTGCCCCACTTCACTCCAGCACAGCACGTGACGATCCCTAATGTAGACAGGCCCCTGCTGAATCCGTGTGTGACTGATCTCCAGAAGTGAAGGAGAAAGAAGCATCAGGAGCAGACCAAGGATCTGCAATACACTGGGCCCTACTGCCGTGCTGTGGGTCAGAGGAAGGGGGAAGGACCATCTTTAACCCAAGGAGAAGGTCCCCCTTGGTAAAGGTTGAGCCCAGGGTCCCTGCTATGCTGCAAAGGAGCAGATGCTAGACCGTCCCTTTCCCAATGGTATTCCCTCTCCTCTGTGTCTAAATCCCCTGGACCCAAGCAATGCTAACTGCTGTGGGCTCTCCTGAGGCGTGTCAGGGACCATCCCCCAGGTTCCCGTAGGCCCTCGCTCTCAGAGCCTCCGAGCTGCCCCAGCTTCAGGGGAAATCCAGGGGTTGCCAGCACTCTGGGGAATCGGGCCTGGAGCAGTTGTGACAGTCAGAAGTGGGAGCAGTTTGCCACTGGGACAGGGGGCCCCACAAGGGAGGTCCTGCCCTGCACCAGGGGTTGGGGGCCCAGGCTTCATCCTACTGGGCAGGTCCATCCCTTGGCTTTTCCAACCCCCATAGCTGTAGCATGGGAGTGTCTTGTGAAATCAGCCCTGGGTCTCCTGGAGGAAGAGAAGATTATCCCCGTTTTACGGCTGGGGGAGACTGAGGCACGAGACAGATTTGCCCAAGGTCACATACCACTGCGAGTCTGGGTGTGAGCTGGGAATTTAACCCCGATCTCCGGACTCCCAGTTAAGCCACCTTGCCGGAGAGAGCTGCACGGAAGGACGCTCCGGAGCGAGAAGCTGCTCTGCCGGGCCGAGTGTGGGTGGCCAGTTCGCTGGTGTTTGTATGAGAGTCCGGGGCAACGTGCTTACCTGCACCTTAGTGTTAATCGGGCACCTTGGACTTCACCAGCCCAGCTGGGAACTGAACCTTGGCCCCCTGCACCAAAGTGACATTCACCAGAGCAACCCCCAGGGTGCTCTACAGGGGTGCAGAGCTAGATCTCCCCACCCAGCACTGAAGTCAGCTGTGACCTGGCCACTTAGCTGGCGTGCCACAAGCCACACTGGGGCCTTTGAGGAGAGGAGGTGGGGAGTGGAGCAAGGATTCCCCAGGGCTAACTTTCCACCTCGTGGGAGCTCGAATGACGGCGAGGGGTCTCTGTCTTTGCACCCCCCAGGAGAGGTGACTTACGGGGGCTGTCAGTGTAACCAAGGGTTGGCTCTTGATCCGAGAGCGGACGTTGAGTTGTCGCCAGTAACGCTTGGTTTTCTCTGTCCTGCAGCCTCCTGTTCATGGTGCCGGTTGCCTGCTCGCTGTTCCCACAGAGATGGTACCAGCTGCGCTGCTTCTCCCTCCCTGAGAACCCCTCTCCCGAGCTATCCTCCGCATACCCCGGGGGGTGCGGGCATCTTCTGGACAGGCCTGGCCTGTCCCTGGGAACTTGGTCAGCTTGAGGGCTTGCAGCCAGCGCTGCCCTTTCAAAGGGTCTGACCTGTGCACAGATGCTAATCCCCACGCTGTGCGCTCTGTCCTGAGTGGGGGGAGATGAGTCCCTGTCTCTGTGCTCTGCCACCTGCCCTGGGACCAGGGCACAGAATGGGGCTGGGCTGGACTTCCCAGGGCTCTGGGAGGGGGCTGGATTCCCCGAGTCTGTGCGCTCTGCCCCGTGCCCTGGGATCGGGCTGCAGCTGGGGCTGGATTCCCCTCTGCTGTCTGCCCTGAGAGTAGCTCATATTCGCCGGTGACTTGCTTCCATGGCCACTATTAAGATCTGGCTGCAGAAGGCCTGCCTCCTGCCCACCCCACCCCCCAGCCAGCTGGAGAGAAGGCCCTACCCAGACCAAGGACACTTCCAACAGGGTCAGGGAGAAGAAGTGCAAAGCAAATCAAAGCCTGACTGTCCGTCTCCTCTCCTTGCAGCTCTCTGGCGCTGTCTAGCCTGGAGCCGGAGCTCCGAGCCTCCATCCAGGCCAAGCACGGGGACTGCGTGCCTTACGTCTATTTTAACAAGGGATTGTAAATCGAGCGTCTACCTCGGGAGCCGTCCACGGCCCTGCACCGTGCTCCGTGGGGCCACCTGCGGCTACAGGGCTGTAAGCTGGAGACGGGCTCAGGACATGCCAATCAGACCTGGATCCCCCACCCTGGCTGCCAAAGTATTTGAGGGGGGGGGGGACTTCTCTGGCCTTAGCAGGAGCAAACAGCTGGCTCTGAAAATCTCTTTCCTTTCCCACCTTCTGTCAAGCTCAGAGTCCAGGGCGTCCCTGCCACAGATAAGAACCTCAGTAATAATAATCAATC